GAAAGACTGACTTTTCCCTAGTCATAGTCCTTTTAGAAAGGAATAGAGCTGTAAGTTTAGATAAGACCTTCCAGATAAGAGTTGCAGAAAATAGATCTTTTTTCTTTTTGGACAAGTAGCATGTTTGAGTAAAGGAGACACCAGGTTAGGATGGGGCGAAACATGAAGTATGAAGACAAGAATTAACATTATAGATAGTGTTTTGGTAATTAATATAGAAGTGGATCAGATATGAGAGCTTTTAAGAACAAAATGGTATAGTTGGTGTTAGAACTATGTGGTATGTATATGTTTATGCTTCTAAGAAAGCATGAGGTTAGCAGTTCAGCAAGAAGAGTAAGATAGGAGTCCACGCAGATTAAATTTTGAAGGTAAGTGTGACGGAGTTGCAGTTTGTAAATGAAAGTAGATGTCTCAAAAATCCTGAACTTGAGAAAAAGGAAGAGGAGATGTAAGAGTCGAGACTGAAAACCGTATGTTGTAGATAAGAGTAGACAAAAGCATGTTGACCTTGCAGAATCAGTAAAAGTAGCACAGCTGCTGACTGTGTAATGCACTTTGAGAGAGAAGAGACTGTAGCAGTGGATGATTATTAGAATAATCTTTGTCAGGAGGGTGAGTGGAATGAGATTGAAATTATCTTTACAGACAGTGATGACTTTGCAGATCTGAGTGAAAGTCCTATTTCAAAGGATAGTTGCCACCTACCAGATTTCAGAATTGGCGCACATCCTAACCAGCAGAGTTATTTAATATTGTCCTAGCATTTGTTGAGAAGTATCTAATTACTTGCATTGTTAATGGTTTTATGAATAAAATCACTGTGATTTGGTCAAAAACTTTGTGAAGGGACAAATAGATCTGAAGTAGGACCTTTCCAGAAGTTGTTACTTAAGACCATTTATGCCACTGCAGCAGTAGCATGTAGAATTTAGAGGAATAACCATTTTGGGGCTGCTTTAGGACTTCAAAAGCATCCGTGTCTGTCTTACATTCATAAGATGAATAGAACTTGTATATTTATTTATTTGTATGTATTTTTTGGTGCTACTACTTTCCTACCAAAGGAAGATAGGAGCTAAATTAAATTAAAAAAACCCCAACTGGTATAGCCTTTTAAAACTAGTATAGCACAGTTATATATATACATGAAGTATCCTTAGTTTATTTGCCTGTCCCATAAAAATTCCTCAAAAAGCTCAAGGTATTCCAATCCTGGTAACTAGATACTGTTTTGTCATTCATATAAATGTGTCTTTAGAAAGTTTAAGTGATAGTCTTAACATTTAACTCTGTGTTTACTATGAGGAAAAAAAAAATCATAGGATTTCTTGTTTTACAAAAAATGCAGAATTGTGCATGTTCAAAAGTAGTCTTATGCCCTTCCGCACGCTTTTCTGTCATTATGTTACTTTTTCTCGGAATCCAAAGTGGTTTTATTTGCATTAAGTTGCCTTTAAGTTGCCTCTTTTTTTTTCCTTTTCCTTGCAATTTCAGAATAGGTGCTTTAAATGCATTACACTCCTGTATGTCTGCTCAGTAGATCATTTTGAGGATGTTTCATTAGATTAGAATGTCATATGCGTTACAGCCATGTGTGCTATGCTGGCCACACAAGTCTTTCAGGGAGGTGGAGCTTTTCCTTTGAATGTATTCATGTTATGGAACAAGATTAAGAATCCCTCTGGCAGGGAAGAGGCCACAAGCAGATTACCACATAGGATACATAGTGTGGCTATCTACCTAGCTCTGAATAGGTTTACCTCTGTTGTAGTCAGCTTATCCCTTGAAGTGGATAGATTTTTTTTTTTAAATCTCTCGTTATGTAATACTGATGGACAGAAACAAGCACTTGTTTTCATCCATTAAGTACCTTTAGAAGACTTGACAAAAGCTTACTTTTTATATGACCAGTTTATCAGCTTCTGAAGATCCAACCTCGAATGTGTGCAGTGCATTTGAGGATTCAAAAGGATAAAGTATGTAGCTGAAGCCAACTGTATTATGAACTTGTTTCCAGTAATAGCAGAGGTGGTAGAAAGTCTAGAAACCAGGAGCTCCACAGTTCTCTCACTACAGCTGGTTTTGATGATTGTCTGCACTTTGACAATTGTCATCTTCCTTAGGCTGATATCACTGTTGTTTTATAGTGTAGTTGAATGAATTCAGTCGCGAAAGATGTTGAACTTTCATATGACATTAAACTGCAACTTCTTTCTCAAAATATCCATTTATGTTTCTCCATAGTAAGCATAGCTTCCATTTGAGTATTGTAGGAGTTCTGGTTATGTAATAAAGTTCTGTAAAAATTGAAAATGCTTCAAGAATAGTTTTTCAATTCTAGCTTGCATTGACTTTTAATTTTGTGTCCTGATCCATGAATTGTCTGCTCAACTACTGATTAAAAGATTCCATTTAACATATGCAAGCATGGAGTAGCTATGGTGAGACAGCAGCATATGTATTTGGTTGATCTGTGCAAATGCTTTACTTGATACGCAGCAGTATCCCGGTACAGCTTTGTTTTAAGGACTGGCTACAGGAGTATGTATCTCATTTTTTCTGACATCTAAATCAATCTGCTACCCTGATTTAAAAAAAAAAATCTTTTTTTTTTCTTGCCTCACTTCTTACCTGGTGACAGTATTTGATGATGGCGATGAGAATCCTGTGTTTAAAAGGAGAAAGACATTTTGCTGAAAGCGAGGTAATGGAAGAATTTTTCTACGACAACTTTTTATTTAGAAAAATCTAAAAGTGTTATTTTTAGTACCTATGTCTTCAATATGTTATGTACAACCATGCTACTAAAAATGGGGATTATGTAAAATACAGTCTACAGGGTCTGACTTATTCTTCTTTTTAAATCAAGAAATACAATTAAATTTCACCAAATTGTGTAAGTTAAGAAACAAAAGCAGCATTTCATATTTTTCATTTTTATATTATTAATCTACCTTGCTTCACGTAAAAAATTATCTGTAAGTATTCATTGGAAAAATCAAAATATGGTACATGAAAAAATGAATATACATCTTTTGACATAATTAAGTTCTGTTGGATTTTAGGTAGATGATCAAGTCTAATTTGTAATAGCTGATAAACTTGAAAGATCAGTACTTTTCTTTTAAAAGGCAAATTATAAGTTGCTGTTACCTGTTAATTTGAAGACAGTTATCAGTATTTTGAAGCTGGTTCATGTCTTAAAGGTGATTTGCATATTAAAGTATTCAGACATTTATAGCGAATTTCAAATAGTTGACATTTCAGAATGAGGGTTATTCCTTATTATTATGTAAGACAATCTGGACTGATGGGCAGATTTATGTGAATGTGTTAGCTTATTGGAAAGCTACTGAAGATGGGGTTTTTTGCTCTACATAAATATGCTTTATTATTGTAGTCAGCTGAGCTTGTTGCCTGCTAACTGCATTCTTGTGAAGGTTCAGATACCTTCTAGAATCCTAAGTTAGGATTAAACACATGTAAGAAGAGGGCCTAATTAGATACCTAAATCTGGATTCACATATAAATGCCATAAATTTAAAGATTGTGTTGTTCATTCGATTTAGCTCTTTATTAATGATCAGCACTCCCGAAAATTAGGTTGTTTCTGTTCCATAAATACTAGTTTAGTATGGTTTCAGGAGTATTACTTTATAGTAAGCAGGTTGAAAATTTTAGTCTATATATATTGCTTTGCGACCTGTTTGGTGAATGAGAGTAGTTTCAGATTATTTTGTCAGATTCAAAGAAACCTTACATTCAGGTGACTCCTACTTTTTATTTTATCATCATTCTTACTGTCTTAGCTTTTGATGTCTTGCCAAAAGTCACTGATACGCAATTCATTATCACCAGCCCTCAATGAAATGCATGTTGTGCATTTCTAATAATTACCTCATGATTGCATAGCTACTTAGCAGGGAAAATTGCATCTCCAGTTTCTTTTGTAATTAGACCAGTGCCACACGGTTGTCTTGTTCTGATGTTGCTTTAGCTTCATCTCCGACTTCCCAAGTGTGGGGGATCTTTTAGGACATCCGCCACACTCTGAAGTGATCATGCATTTACTTTTAAAAGCCAGCTTTATTGTCTCTATGTCCAGTTCTGTCTGGCACAGAATACTTCTGAGATTCTTGTTGGTGTTTCACGTTTAAAAAGTCATACATGACTCAGAAGTGTAATTCGGAGGACCATGTTTACTTTGGAAAGCTTTATGCCTTTTTTCAAAGAACAAGAATAAGTGTCTACACAAAAAAAATGTGTACCAGGAGCCTTCAAATCTGGAATGGTTATCCTTTAAACAGGTAACAGCAGTCTTAAGGAAAGAAGATACTGCATGTCCATGAAGTCCTTCTGTTGATGCTTTAGCATTCTCCCTGAACAGAGAAAGTTCTTTTCTTTCTCTCCTTCTCTTTTTGTTTTGATGCTAATAGAGCATCAATTAGCACCCTCTCAATTGTCAATATAGCAACCTCTTTAAAATGGTTTTAGAATCTTTCTCTCCCGTATCAAATTATGAATTAGTAACAAAAATACAGTTAACTTGTCATGTTTGCTCCTACTGAGCTATCTTGCAGTTTCATTTCATAGAGGACCTTTATTCATTTATAAGTAGATGATTGGGTGTTTAGTCTGATGAGATGGAGTATCCCAGGTCAGCAGAATACCTGATACTTAATTCTATATGTTTGAATGGTCCAAAGGCAGGGCTTCTGGGAAGAATTGTCTATATGTGTTGGATGAAAGTTAATTATTCGGAGGTGGGGAGAAAGTGTTGGAAAAAACCCAAATCAAAACACATTACTTTTAAAAATTAAAGCAGTGACGTCTCTGCTGTACTTCTGTATTTCTTTTGTAGTGAGAAAGTCTCTTTATTGACAAAAATTACTTTAACCAGATTATACAAACTTACGGTTTGGAGAATAACTTATGCCAGGCTTTTTACATGTGTATGTATATGTATTTTTTCATTTCAACAGACATTAGATCAGCTTCCACTCACAAATCCTGAACACTTTGGGACTCCTGTTATAGGAAAGAAAACAAACAGAGGAAGGAGATCCAATCATATGTAAGTTTAACATCTTTATATCTGTGCTGTCTGTATTCAATTCTGAAGGTTTCAGTGTGTGTGGAGTTTAATAGTTGTGTGTTCAAGCTTCTCTTATTCAAAAAACAGGAAGCTGCATAAAAAGTGTTTATCACTCAGACAGAAAGTTTATTGTTGCATGCAAGAATTACAAGTCTTCATGTAATCAGTATTTAAAGTGGTACTGGGTATAAGCAAAAGGTTTTTTCTTGTTTTTGTTACTTAAGTAAAAAAAGTAAGTGGCATACCAAGTGGAAATGTGTTGTTAACCTATATTCAGAAGCTTCTCTGCAGTAGAATATTAGTTTCAGAAGCGTGTTGGACTCAATCTAAAACCATAATGCAGTCTTTGTCCAGGTGATACGAACTCTTTGTGGAAGGTACTAGAATCCTCATGTAGACCTTTGGTTTCTCATTACAAGGTCTCTGAAGGGCTTTTACAAATAGGTGAACAGTATTATGGTTTGCAGCGAAGCTTATTGATAGAAAAATAAAGTTTAAGAGTAGTGACTTGATTTCCTAGGTGCCAAAATTCTTGGTAGTTGTGATCTTGAAAAACCAGTGTTAAATACTCCACTGACTGTTCTTCTTTGTTGTTCGTGGGTGGTTTTTTTTTGTGTGGACTTTTTGTGGGGTTTTTTTTGTTTTGTTTTGTTTTTGATTTAAAGTTCTGAGGTGGTAGTGGCTGGGGTGAGAAGGGAGTTTCCATGCTTGGGTTACCCTTTCACGCTCTGTCTTTTTGATAGCTTGAAATAAATATTGCCATGTATATTTGAGTTACTATAAATTTACTCAATTACTGATTTACTAATTTGTGATGTATTGAAGGAAAAAGATGGAAAAAAGCTGGCATATACCACAGAGAATGTGATTGCAGCATCCTTGGTGTTTGTGACTGGATTGTTGTCATCTTTGTTTCTCTAACTGTGCAGGACATAATTACGTCAGAAACAACACACTTATCTTTATCTTATGGTTAACACTGACTGAACTGAATAAAAAGATTGCACAGATACTGGTATAACTGAGCTGGGTTGTAGTCTCTCTAAAATAGTCCTGGCTTTCTCTCTAGTCCTTGACTTTTTTCTTTTCCCACAAGAGATTCTCAAACCCCAGAAAGCAGCCTTGAAAGGCTGTATTTTAAAAGAAATCACTACTTTAAAAAAGGATGTTGGGGGAAAACAGTGCTTTATCAGCTCTGCAAATGATGACATAAAATTAGGGTGGGGAAAATGAAACATAGTAATTCACCTTAGACTGTAAATCGTTGTCTTTTGTTACACAAATGCTAACTGTGAGTCTTCTGTTAAGATTGAACTTTGTATTCAAAAGTAGTTATGTGAAAAATGGAAGATAGCTTTTAAAATTCTGCTTGTTGTGCTCATTGGACATGCTGTGTATTTTCTGAGAATTAACCTTCAAAGTGACTAGTAAAAAAATACATACCTAGAGAGAGCCAGGAGTGCTGATGATTTTTTTTTGTTGTTTTGTTTTTTTTTTTTTTTTTTAAATCAGTTGCAGGTAATTTTAGTTGGAGTAGTTTTGTTCATTTTGATTCCCCATATGGTTAAAACCACGTGCAACTTTGTACTGGAACAGTCAAAACAATGAACTAGAACCCTTTTTAATCAAAATGTATTTGCACCTTTGCCCATCTACTTACATTCCAACACTTTGTTCAATGTGAAATTGAAACAGTCATTGAAATGCTTCACTGCACATCTTTAAAGAACCGTTTCAGGATAAATAGACTTCTTTTTCTCTTTGCTATTCATCTTCATAGCTGATGTTTCTTCCTCAGAGATTTGTCCTCTCTCAAAATAGCTTTTTATTCTGTATGGCTGTTAAGTAAAAGCATAGAGATTAAGAGGAAAAACAACACAGTTTAGCTTAATGTTGGTCCAAAACTACAACTGCACCCTATTTTTGAACAGTGCTTCACTAGGGTAGAATTCTTGTTTTGAATGTCCTGACAGTGCATTTCTATTCCTCCATGTGGATGTATGGTGGTGTTTTGTTTGGTTTTTGCATGTGTTACATGTAGGTGTGCATTTCTGAGTTTGTAATGTTTGAGTTGTTATTATAATATCCTTATAAATACTTCTGTTTATTTTCATCCTAAAACACTTAACAGGCAATTGAAGTCACTATTATTTACGCCTCTCTGACAATTAGCTTTGGATCTCCTGTAATTATAATAGGCAAGTTTTGAATAATTGGGTTTTAAGTCTTTTTCTGTTGTTTAGTCCTGAAGAAGAATCTTCATCCTCTTCCAGCGATGAAGATGAAGATGATAGGAAGCAAAGTGACGAGTTATTAGGAAAAGTTGTGTGTGTGGACTGCTTCAGTGTGGATAAAAAGAAAGCTCTATGGTTTCCAGCTTTGGTAAGAGTTTCATCTTTATTTTAATTTTGTAAAGTTGCATTCATTTTCTAGGCACCAAAGAAATGTGGGTTTTTTCATTTTTGATGGATTAATCTATATTTTTATTAGAACTTAATAGGTTTCTTCAAATTGGACCGTATCATAATAGTAAAAGGAAATATTATATATGTAAATATGTTTGTTTACAAAAAGTGATTGCTAACATGGCTTTAGTTTTTCCAAACAGCCAGAGCTTGTTGACCTAATTCCAGCTCAACAGTGTGTTTAGTATTACTAAACTAAAATTTCAGGGCTTTTTTCCGAGGCTATTGCTTGTCATCTTTCTGAACTACCAAGTTTTATCAAGGAAGACAATATAAAGAAGTGCGAAGAGAGGGGAGGTTTAGAGATTACATAGATATTCTTTTTCTAGGTTCAATATAAACACATTTGATAATAAAATCAAATGTTTTTTGTTTGTTGCTATGGTGGGTAGTAGAGAATAGCCAATAAATTTCCTTTAAAATAACGTTGTAGTCTTTTAGTACAATATTTTCTATCTTCCTTAATTCTGGTTTAAAGACACTTTTTTACAAATAAATTTCTAATAAAATATCACTGTTAGCCTAAGGACTGCATATAGACTGACTGATATATCTGGAAATTAACGTGTTTCCATATGTGGTACCTTCTAGTACCATGCTTCTTAATTTTTATTTTATTATTAATTGTAAATCTTTGAATAATTTCTCCCTGGCAATGAAAGCTTAAAATGTTTATCTAATTTCAGGAAGACTTGTGCTCTGCTTTTGAAAAGGTGCCATACAGTAACATTTAATTCTTCTTAGTGTGTGCAATAGCTCTCAGTTGCAACTTTCTACTTGTCACCTCCTGTGTCTTGTAATGCAGTCCAGAGGCTTTCCAGCAGGACTTCTTTTGGAAAAGTTGGTGGGAGAGAATGAGTCACTGAAATCTCTTTCACAACAAGGGAGAGGGCAGAATATACAGCAAGGAGATATCTTAATGACAGATAGCTTTAAGAGAGGTGTTCAGTAGTAGACAAGAAAATTGACCGGTTTCTTTACTGAAAGCTGTCATCAAGATTGATGCAATATTGCCTACCTCACAGTTGCACTCTAAGAAGCGGTCAGTTAGACTGGCTTGAGCTGTTTTATGTCGCACTGTTGGGTTAGCCCTTCTGGTCATGCACGTAACAGATACCAGTTTCCATGGCAGCCTCTCTGGTAGGTATTAGGCTTGCATGTGAGTAATGTAGTGCTACTCAGGATAGCTGTGGGTCAGACCTTAAAGATTAACTGAATTGTTGCTTATTCTCCCAAGGTATACTAAAGATACACACTGTTATTTCTTTGGCTTTCATTTGGAGATTGGAATAGCTCATTCTTCATTGAAAGCTTCCTGCAATGAATGAGAAGCAGTGGGGGGATAAAGTTTGAGGGTGGAGCTCGTTAACTCTGAAATAGCTTATCCTAGATTAACTGTTATTTTAGTAATCAGGTTTATAGCTCTGCAAATAAACATCATACTGCATTTAATCTGAAAGGTTGTGCCAAAGAATAGGTTTATGCCCTAAATAGCCTTTTTTTTTTAATCCCCTCCCCTGTAGCTATGCCTCTCCATTCTTTTACCTTGTAAGCAGGTTACCTCTACTATATCAACAAAGTAATTTTATCTTATTACTGATAAATTTTACTTAGCTTTATTTTATGCTAATTGTAATTATGTGAATAATGCAATGAAAATTCAGGTTTAATATATTGAAGAATGTGTATCCTAGAATTACTTTGTTATTAATGATATTGTGTACAGATAAGCTTTGTGTATAAGCACCAGGGACATTGTGCAAGTTTATTATGTGAAAAGAAGTTCAGGGATTAGTCTAAACCTGTACAGCAAATAACAGTTAAGATTAGTAGTGGAAACTGATTACTTTGGCTATCAGTCCTATAACCAGATAGCCTGTCACTTATAAATGTAAAATTGTAGAATCTAAATTTGGTAAAAATTATTTTGAGGACTCAGTGATTGACTACATTGTTTTAATCCTGCATGCATGGTGGTTTTTTTTTTGTTTGGTTTGTTTTGGGGTTTTTTTGGGGGGTGGGTTGAGAGCAGTGGCTAATTGGAATTGTAAAAAGGCCTGGCAGTTGCTCCTTATGTCAAAGAGTGTGATTTAGCAAGCCTTATAGCATTGCTTAGTTTTAATGTGTACTTAAAGGCTTTTGGAAGGTGCAATGAGGAAATCTGCACGCAGCACTTTCAGAAAATAGAGTTTACATAGGATCATCTCTCTCATCCTCCTGTGACTCCAGTGGAGTTTGTTCTGCAAGGAAATCGAGAAAACTTGATTCAGGCAAAATTGAAGTGATGTGCTTGATGTAAAGGCACTAGTTGAGGTTGTGGTAAGCTGTTTTCCAACCTCTGAATAGTGTTGTGACTACTAAGATCTTGATGCTTCTAGAAAACCAATAGCTAAAGCCAGAAGGGCCTTTTTCCATCTTTAGAGAGCTAGGAGATTGCACCTGTCTGTTTCAAATGGAGGATAATAATCACTGTCTTTTACCTTGATATTAAAACACTGTTGCAAACTATATCTCAAACTGCATTTCAATTAGTAAGTTGTAGTTTTGTAATTTCTTTGGAGACTGTAGAATGCACTGAATTTGGAGAATTAGGCTGTTAAGTTTAATTTTTCTTGAGAAGCATATTTAGCCTGTGCTCTGTGATATGCAACTCTGTTTCCAAATCAGATGCAGCTTTTGACTTTGCCTTCTAAAATGCTATACGGTGACCTATGTAAGGAGGAAAAAAACCCTTTTGTCATGCAGTATCTTTGTGTGTTTGGTGGAAAAAGTAGGACTGAAAGCAGTTGGTATAAGAGGGAAGAGGTATTTGCCAGGACTAAATTAGGACTGCAGTCATTTGCTGCTCCTCTGGGTTTCATAGCAGCCAGAACTGTCTTAACTTTCAGGGAACTACACATATTTTGAGAGAAGAGAGATGAGTGATGGAGAGGGTTGCTTTTCTGTTCTATAACTCTGGAAATTCAATATGTATATTTTATTAAATTTCTGAAGCTTTTTGATTAGCAACTCGTATACTAGTTTAACAAAACTTAAATAACTTTTAAAATTGCAACAAATAATTAATATGTTGTCTCAGTGCTAGACTTGGTTAGTCTACTTCTTGAATTAAAGAACCTATCATAATACTTGTACTTGAGGCACTCTTCTCTCCTAGGTAGATAACTTATGAATCCTCCATTATAAAATTGCATTTCATAAATTCTGTATGCCTTTTTTTTTTTTTTTTTTTTTTTTTTTTGAAAGTGTGGGTGATTACATCCTTGCAATTTCTGGAAGTTTTTCAGAAGTTGTCTCTAACGCAGGTGACAGCATTTGGTGGAAGTTCTGTCCTTTTAGGATGAGGAGTAGAATAAGCTGTAGTGGCATGACAGGTACTTAACTTTTGTCACAATGCTGTTCTTACTTACGTCTCTGGCAGCAGCTGTCAGTTCCCTCCAGGAAGCGAGCATAAACTCATGCATTCAGTAATTTCAGGAGGTCCTCACTGCTGTGACGATTTTGAGAGATCTCAGTTGCTCTCTCCTCAGTGTTGCTAAAGAGAAATGAACCCAAAAGGTTTTTGAGAAGCATTGGTATGTACTATTACTCTCCTGTTTTTCCTTTTTCTCTCTAAACTTTGCATTTGTAATATCTTTGCAGGTGGTTTGTCCAGATTGTAGTGATGATATTGCAGTGAAAAAAGACAATATTCTCGTTCGCTCTTTCAAGGATGGCAAATTGTGAGTAGGAATGTAGAAGTTGATAATTGAATAAAATCTTTACTAGCCAAGTGAAATGTAGTATGAGATATGTTGAGTAAAGTATTAATAACATCAGTAAGCTCAGTAAGTTTCTGCCAAGATTTTTCTAATGTTTAGAAAACTGTTAACAGCCTACATTGTGATGAAATCAGTCTTGAACTTTGTCGTTATTAATAACGGGATGCATAAATCTATCTGTCTTAATTTTAATGTCATTGCTACAATGGTGGCAAACAAAGCAGTATTTTGTGACTTCGAGAATGGCCTGAGACTCTTTCCTGCTGTGATTGGAATAGAGCACTGCTTTTCGGAGATGTGGCCGTAAGCTTATTGAGCTACAGAAAAGGGTGGGTGGGGGTGTGTGCATGTACGCATGTATACCACATATACACAGAAATTCTCTTTCTGTTTTTGAGGTAGTAAGGCATATGTTTATCTCGGTCTAGACTACAACTGCATATTCTCACGTTCTTTTCAAAGAGCTGTAATACTACTCAAAGTAGGAAAGAAGATAGAGAAACCTAGAAAACCAGACTGTATCATATTTGCAATAGAATAAGGAACTTTGTGTTCTTAAACTCATGTTGATCAGGGAGGGGGCTTGATGGATGACAATAGAATCCTGTTTTCTAGGTTTTAGTCTTTATTTAAAAAGTTGTAGCTATTTATTCTGCTTGGTTCAATTTAACAATGCTTTTGCGGAAAGGATGTTGAAATATTTAACAGTTTCATTGTGGTTTAATTACTTACTAAGTCTAAGCTATCGCTTTACCATAGTATAGTTATTCAGGCATCAGTGCACGTCACTGGAGAAACACGCATAAGCATGTGTGCACAGAAGCACATACCCCCCACCCCCCAAAGCCACAGTTCAGATTTACTTCCTTGGATATAGCTACAGTAGAAATTTAAAAGTGCTTGGTTCTTTCAGTTTGGAAGTCTTTCATTTCATACTGACAATTTACACTAATATTTATGTTTTAAGCAAGGTAGGGTTTTGTTGTTTGTGTGTGAGTAGTTACTTGCTAAATTAACATGAGATTTTCATTAAGTAATATATATTTGGGAGATTCCAGAACTACCAGTTAGTGGAAGAAGAATGCTTTCTTTAATATGCGGTGAATGCATATGGATGGTCTAACCAAATTTATGTAGAAGTTTTGTTTTTAATCCACTGACTGACTAATACTGTACCAGACTTACACTATAGAATTGTCAAGATATACTTCATATGCTTCTTCTGTATGTTTAGTAAGTGTGCTATAGTCTTAGTGATAGCTCTGTATTATATTGTTAATTTAGCTTTAAAATATTTTTTTTTTTAACACTTTCTAAATTATCTAGTGTTTCTGTGCCAAGAAAAGATGTTCGGGAGATTAGTGAAACTTCACCAAAGCCTGATGCTTTGTTAAAACAAGGTAAAAATAAACTTTCTATGAGAAAACACGTGTCTGTATTTACTTTGTTACATAAATTGGACCAAATTTATGGTAGGTTGGTTCATGTCTTAAAAATGCTAAAATACAGGATCTTTTTCTTCAGCATAACATATTGAAGGAGGACGCTTCTGAAAATCTAGAGGAACTTAAAAAAAAAACAAAAAACAAAAAACAAACAAAAAAAAACCCAGAACAACAACAACAACAAAACCCAAAAACCAAACGAAAACACCCTTCCCCCCCAAAAAAAAAACCAACCAACAACAAACAAAAAACTCCCACTCTACCTCACTTGTTTTAAATGTAGACAAGCCAAACAAAGGATGTAATCATACAGGTCACACTGACTTTATTAGGTTCTTTAGTATTCAGCCTTTTGTGTTAGACCTTCATAGAGTTGTTCTCACCGTAGTACCCCTAACAGTTATAAGTAAGTTGCCTTTATGCACTCTCAAGAAACTGGAATTGTGGATTCATTTGAAAGTTTAACTTTGTGTGGTCAAACTCTTAAAATTAACTTGTGCTTATTTCTTCCTCCTTCTCCTCCCTGTTCAATGTATGTAAACCTGTTGGAACAGGGGTTCTCTCAATTAAATTTTCATATATGCCTTAATACAGAAGATCCTTATTTGTGTATATGGACACTAACATGGTAATAATCCTAATAATAGCTCTGAATAATTTGATGTGCAGAGAACACTAGGCTAGTTTGGCTGGGTAGACAAATCAGGATGGACAACATGGGGTTGTTGTTAAGGTTCTTTGAATTTGGGGGTAGAATTGTTAATTAGCAGTCTGTCTTCCTTCTCTCCCCCCCTCCCCCCCGACTATTTTTTTTGATTAAAACATTTAGTCAAACTGGTACTTCCTGCAGTGCTAACAAATGCTGGTCCTTTTACAGCTTTTGACCAAGCCCTTGAATTCCGTAAAAACAGAACTGTTCCTAGTAACTGGAAAACAGAATTGAAAGAAGACAGCTCCAGCAGTGAAGCTGAAGAAGAGGAAGAGGATGAAAAAGAAAAAGAGGATAACAGCAGTGAGGAAGAGGCAAGTGAAGTTAGTAAAGGGAATAGATGCACAGCTCATAAAAATTAGCAAGACTGGAGTATCTAAGTAGATCTTTTTAACATTTGGGAACATTTAACATGTTAACATAGGCAACATTGTTAACATAATCAACATTATTGCCTCTCAGCTTTCAAAGTCTTTATTCCACAAAGACCAGTTAATATGAAAATAGCAACTTGAAAATCTAACAAATATCTTTGAGTTACTAAGCAAAAAACGTAGTCAAAAGGCTGAGTCATTAGGGACTAATGAAGAATAGAAATTAAAACTCAAAGGAAGATCCTGTTTTAGAATCTTTCCCATGCTGATCTTAATGCAGTGGCAGAAGGGGTTGCAGTACCTACTAGGGACTGAGCAGCATGAAGAAGGGTAGATATTGGTGTCTGCAGTCACATGCGTATTGTTTTTTCTAAAAGAAAAAAGGTTCCCTTTGCTTGGGTGTATTTCTAAATGGAACTTACCTGCTAGCTGTTAAAAGGTCTGGCTGTCTTTTGACTGGGAAGATCTGTGTAGCTAAAAAAATATTTAAGTTGTTTCTGATACAGGATATGTGGTGCTTAAATTATTTTTGATAACTTTAAAACAAAGATCTCTCTCTGTTTTCTTTGAAAACACCAGCAATTATGTCTTGCAACTATATGTAAATCCAGACTGGCCTTTTCTTTGCACATGCTGTTTCAGTATTGGAAGGCAAATGAGTTTTTTTCCACTGATGTGGAACTTCTGGTTTCTTAGGGTGATATTAATTCCTGGGCTATAATGTCAGTCATGGCCTAGAGGGGTTTCCAGTTCACTCTCCCTCCAAATAAACAGTTGTTTGCCCTTCTGTAATAATGCAGTGTGTTGTAGGGTGCAGAAGGGTGTAGTTTCCCTCCATAGCTTGTCTTGCATCTGCTTTATTATATATTATGACAGGGTTGATTTATTTTTTCCTTTGTGGCCATGGAGTGAGTTCTGTGCATGCTAACATCATGCTACTGTAAATAGCTGCTCACATAAATGATGATAAACTTTTCTCCTGGCTATAGAGCTGTTACCCCAGTACGTACCTGTGACTTACCACACATTCCAAGCCACAGGGAAGTTTGCTACCTTTTACACAGGAGCTCCATCTGAGGAGGTAGCTCTAAGCTGTTACTGACCTGCGTTCTTGACATATTTGAAAAATAAACCGAACTAGGCTGTCATGGCCCTGCTATTGTCTCCTCCTCCCTTGTGTCTCTGTCACCCTGTCTTCCTTCCCCTTCTACCTTACTCTTTCCTGCCCCCAAATTGCTATGCTAGGCCTACAGCTGTAGGTCCTCTTGTAAAGCAGATATTGCAAGTAGTTTGCACTGTTCTTTCCTGGCTTCTAGCTGTAGAAAATGGAGTTCACTGGTTTTGGAGTAGTGAAAAGTGAGATATTTTGTAATCTTTAGATAATTACACAGAAATCTGAGTTGTTACACCTCTCTCTTCCTGGTCTACTGAAGAATTGCTTCACTACAAGCTATCTATCTGGCTACCCTGATGTAAAGAAGCAAAACAGCTTTCAATCAAGGCATTAGCCCATGCACTCCTCTTCCGCCTTTATTCTCTCTTTTGTCCTCAAAGTATGGAGTCCCAACTCATGCTTGGTTTTCTAATTATCTGTTCTTTCCTCCCAGCCTCCTGTCCAGAAAAAAATGAAGACAAGAGGAAAGAAGAAAATTAGTGGAAAGAACTTTATTTCACAGCTGGCTGTGAGGCTGGAAGAGGGGCTTTTGAATCTTTTACTTCCTCTGTACCTTCTGGTGGTACTCAAAATCTGTATCTGTCCATTATCACTTTTTTCTCACTAGGGTTTGAGAGCTGTTCTCTAATTCATTATGCACCTGCCAGTAGTGCAGTAGACTGAAATTCCCATCAATAGTGGAATTGTAAAGGAGAAACTGAACTGGTTTGGGTCTTAAATGGTTGTTAAGGTCTTTCTCAATACATCCTCCCCGGAGATTGTGGCTCTGGCATACCAGAAGATGGTGTTCTATCTTTTATTCATTTCCTTATTTTAAGATTTGTTGGGAGACTGCGCAGGTGTGAAGTAAAAACTTTGCCACCTCTCCATGCTCAGGAGTTCATTCTGCCTCGTCTTTACGCTCACAGGAGATTATCCAGCTCTGATCAAAAGTTAGAAAACCCAGTTTGCAAGGGGCTATGCTCTGCTTAGTATTTTGAGAAGCAAGGAGTGCTTCCTTGCGCTCAGCACAATTCCTGAACTTTCGGAGCAGGTTCATGTCCAGCCATGGACATGATGAATGTAGATAGATTTGTACCTATGCAGGTTGACATACAATCTTTGTATAGTGATCATTCCCTCACTACTTGTAGGTGAAAAATTCACAGTCTTTAACTACAGTGTTGGTAAATACTTGACCTTGTACCCTTTGTACACCTTCTTTCTAGCTCCTCTTAGTTGCATGTGGTGTTGTATGACCTAGTCTTTCCATGTGCTAGACATGAAGATCTCATCTTAGGCAAATATTTTGGGATTTACTGTGACATCTCCTGTGATAATTTCTTCTCCAGTATCCAATGTTTCAGTTACTTGCTGAACGAGGATGTTTCTAAAACAGAGGCAAAATCTTTTTTTTTTTTTCTTTCTTTTCTTTTTTCTTCCTTCTCTCTCCTCAGTGGTCAATGGCATGTGTGCCTTCTCTCCACCCACCTTTGAGCAATTTCTGCAGCCTCCTCTTTTTTTTTTTTTTTTTTTTTTTTTTTTTTTAAAATTAGTTTGTGCCTGTAACCTCCTGGCTATCAAGCACCATCTCTTCTCAAACAGGACCTGTGGGCCTGCTCTTGGGACTTTGTATTTTACCTGCAGATTGTTCTAGTGCTTTCCAGCACATGAAAAATTCTCACTGGTGGCCCTCAGGCCACCTCAGGCCTGGTACTCATGAACTGGGGGTGAGGGGGAGCCCAAACCCCCAAAAAGCTCTTACATATGTCACTGCAGGCTTCATATATAGATGCTCCTATCCTATATATATTCACACACACTCCTATAGATATATAGATGCTCCTATATATATCTCATATATCTATATAGATCTATAGATGCTCCTATCCTATATAGATAGGAGTTCACACGCAAACCCTCTCTACTTCTCTTCTAAGAACAGAAGATGAGTTGCCCTTTTTTTTCCTTTTTTTTTTTTCCAAATGGAAGAGACTGGAAAATGGCCTTCCTTTCCTCTACTAAATCTGACAGTAGGTAAAAGAGTTGACAAAGACCCTCTCTTCTAGTGCTGGGCTATAATACTGTGTGAATTTCATGTGTTGCCAAAAGCATGTTGCTACTTTTCTGGATTTCATTATCATACATATAAGCCACTTTCTTTTACCTTTGTGACATTAGAGACTGCAGAATGACCTGCTAGCACTGTGGTTGTCTAACTTAGAAGTAAGCAAAGGTGACAGAGTATGACATGCCTGCTTCAAACCATTGTCTAGGAAACCTTGTCTAACTTCTTGATTATTTAAGAGATTCTGTAAATGTTCGGAGATTATTAACAGATTATTATCGTAGTATAATATGTACTGATTTTGTAGAGATTCTGAGAAAGTGAAAATGCTTTTCAGAGGCATGCAGGGTCTTAAGCCTTCCCCCTTATTACACCTTCTTAGAAAGTTGGTTTTGTCTCTACTGAGAAAATTAATAAGGAGTATCCACTTGCCATTCTGGCACCTCTGTGGATTATCACGTTTGAGACGTAAGAGTATTCTTCAGGCATTGGATCTTATGGTGAGGAAGGAGTGGCAGTGTTTTATTCGGCCTCATCACCTTTATTTTAGTTCCCCTAATATTTAAAAAGCGTATATTCCTTCTTAAAAGCTTTGTTGGGTTTGCTGAAGGTTTAGTTCAATCACACACCCACCCCCATCCGTCCACCCCCCCCTCCCCCAATGCTCTGTGGGACCATTTTCTTGTGGCAAGCGTTCTCTTGTTGGTGAGGAACGTGAGAAACCCAAGTAGGTGCTCATGATCTCTTTGCCACCATCTGGTGTATGCTGGTAAAAGTCCTTTCCAAGTACCTGTCGTGAGATTAAAACAAACAAAAACGAATTCTAAAACTGTATTGATTCCACTCAAGTCACTTGTTCTCTATGGTCGTGTTCAAGTTTTATGATTGCAGGCTGAATCCTTTGCTTGCTAGCAGTGTTTCCTTTACCACCTTTGCCTGTGAAATGTGAATGTTCTTAACCGGGCATTTGTCTGTACTGTATGCAGGGCTGCAGCATCACCTCATACTATCAGTGAAGAATTGCTAGGTTGCCTGATTTCTGATGCCCCTGCCCTGTGAGGATGTATGTAGTATACTGGTTGCAGTTCTCTACCCAGCCTGTCCTTCTTGCTCATTGAAGTAGCCTGCTCTGAGCTCTGCTGGTATACTAGGTATCAGATAGATGCTCATCATGTAATGCCCCTTGCAGAGACTTTACTCTTGCATTGCCATTGCAAGACTGTGGAATATTTTCATTGCATTTCTGTTGATAATTATACCTAAATGACAACTGTTTCAGCATATTGTGAATACTGGTTCTTCATTTTTTGCCTGTTTGCTCTGATATGTCCTCCAAGTGCATTTAATGGAGAAAGGGAAGTATAGAATAAGAAAAAAAACCCTCCTCACTGGTAATAGTTATAGCCTTCCTTGACCTTATTTTCAGCCATCCATCTCTATTAAATAGCTTCAGCAGATGTTGTGGGGGGCGTTTTTGGTTTTTGTTTTGTTTTTTTTTCTTGTTGTGTTTAATAATAATATTCTGTTTCTATTGATTTCTCAACTGTCTTGCTATAAAGACAGTATGTTTTGTCCCCTTGCTTCAGGGTAGGTGAAGCTTTAATGTTTAGTACAATGAGATTGTTGAAGAAAGGAAAAGATAAACATGGAATGAAAATACACTAAAGAAAAGCAATTTCTTTTAGATTTACTGAATAACTTTTATTAGCTATTTTTGGAAACTTTACAGGTAGTATTAAAAAAGTATGCAGAAAACTAATCAACTATATTTGGCGTATTGTTTTGAAGTAGCTTAGTCATCAGAATTTCTTAAGAATTCTGGTTATACTAATACCTTACTGCTCGTGGTTGTGGCAAGTCACATTTCCTAAGGAAATTATGAGGTGTTATAAAATAAGCCATAGTGCTTTGTTATGAAACTTCACTGTTTATTAATCTAAGTAAATCTAATACAAAGGTTTTTTAGTGCAATGAACTGAATATCTGAAATATCCATTGCTATTTCAGTTCTGGGATTGATCCTGCTCACCATGCGTTCAGCCGGTACCCCGTGGCAGCACGCATGCAGAGCCATTTGCTGTGGTTTGCCAGTACTGTGGATTAGAACTCCTAAGAAAATGCAAGCACCATTCTCTCTTTCACTTCATCCCTGAAAGTGACGTAATGTGTCCAGGCATCAAGGAGTCACTTAAATGCAGTAGAAATAGACCTGAGATTTCTGATGTAATCTCTTGATCATTAATAGTGGTGTCTCCCAGACTTTCTGCGTAAATGGACAAAATTGAGAATACATCTTGACTTATGATATCACTTACGAGACTTCAGTGACCAATCAAAAATCCAATTTCAATGTGTCTTTACAGTTATTGTTTTATATGTTTTGAAAAACTGTTTGTAGCTTGTAAAACTTATTTCCATGTGGTATAACACTGAGAGCATGTGTCTCTTTGTATAGTATCCTGGTGCTGACTACAGTAAAACAAACTTGAACATTTGAACCTAAATTATCACTACTGTATGTTTCTTAATGAAGGACTGTAACTTAAAATGGTGATAATTTTCTTGTGTGCATTATTTTAAACAGGAGGAAATAGAGCCATTTCCTGAAGAACGAGAGAACTTTCTTCAGCAGTTATACAAGTTCATGGAAGACAGAGGTAGGAATTTTAATCTTTGACTTGCAGAAGCTGAAGGTAGATGTGTTGCTTAGCAGTACTTAAAAGAATTGAGTCTGTAAACTAGTAGTGCTTTGCAGTTCAGTTTTGGATACAGTGAGACTGTATTCATCACTTCTGACTTCCCAGCTATTTAGAAAAGTCTGTCACTTGACTCTTCTCCTAAAATACAGTCACTTATTCCTGCTTTCAGAAATAAATGGATAGTACCTCATATATGCTAGTATATTTTCTACTGTGTACTTATAGTGTGTGTAATCAAACATTTAATATCCTCGTTCATATTAATGTATATGCTCAGTTTAATAACTTTAAAATGCTGAAATAAAATAAAATGTAACCACTCCCCTACTTTTTAGGATCATGAAAAAAAGCATTTACTATGTGTTAGTTTTCTTGTGTGAATCCTGATTAGTTAAATGCATGAGCGTTATCAGTGAGGTAGATTGAAATGTTTTTAAAAGCAAATGCCGTTTATTATATTAAATCTTTACCAGGTATTTATACACTGCAAGAGAAGTACAATGTCTGTAGAGGCAGGGGTGTTTAAATTAGTATTATAACTAGTTAAATTAGTGTCTTTTTAATGACATGTGAAGATGAGTTGAGGAACTGTTTACAAGAGATAACAATGTGGTAGCTATTGCTAGTATAGTAGCATAGGAAGCTTCAGCTCTTTGAAGCATTGTGGGATTTGTTCCTGGAGAGGTTGGGTTTTTTTTAATTGTAGTGAAAGGACTACACTAGTATTTTTAGGTGTAATTGTTTCAATGGGTGAAATAAAAATATGCATAATATAGGTAGCAAGAAAAGTTGCGTCATTTGTGCATGTTCAGGAATATATGGAAGAATGCATATGTATGAATTAAATTACATTACTGAACTACAGGGAAAATGGGTTATAAAGACTCTTCAGTTTGTTTAGTTTCATGAAGAGAAAGTACCAGATGCATGAGGTGGTCAGAGAGAGGGGTTTACAGTACTGTATTTAATAGTGTAGTAGTGCATATGATGTGGATTTCATGTTATTCTGAAAAAGATATTTCAAAACACTGTAATAACTGTCTTTGTTCACAGGGACTCCTATTAACAAACGGCCTGTATTAGGATATAGAAATTTGAATCTCTTCAAATTATTCAGACTTGTACACAAGCTTGGAGGATTTGATAATGTGAGTATTAGTATGATGAGTATTCCAGAGCCATAAAATCTGAGGATGCTGTTTATTCCAGTTTAAGTAGTGATAAAGAAGAATCTTACACAGGAGCTTTAGACATACGAAAATTGAATACTACAGCTGTGTAAGACACCCTGTAGCTCTGAAATACATGCTTTAACGGGAACCAGAAACTAATTATATTCTAAATAAATTACATATCTACTCAGTGTGTTTAATTATTGCTATATAAAATCAGCCAGCATGTGTGTGTTTGTGATATTTCAAGAAATGTTTGTCTGATAAAGTTGTTACCTCAGGAAGTTAAGAGAGTCATTGCTCAATAAAATCTCAAAGACAAGTAATCTAGTTTAAGGTCTGATGTGAGGCCCTTAATTCCTATCTATTCTGGGCAACATATAGGAGAATATGCTGACTGTGATTAGTGGGATTGGTCTTGGAGCAGTAATTGAAGCATGTGGAATTCATGGCCAGGCAGATTCTGTTACTGCTTTGGAGTGCTTCCCATAAATTTAGCCTGTTGGTTGAGGAGGTATGTTAGTGCAGTGACACCTTTCTGATACACAAGAGAGGATCTTTGTGCTTCAGTGTTGCAGTACATCTGCTTTACCTTCACAGGTGGTTAGAAATGAGCATATCACACTGTCACAAAACTTTGACACTGAAGGGCATATTAAGGATATAATGAAAGACTGGTAGGGGCAGTACTGCTAGGGCTGAGTATTGTTAATGCTTTGCATGAATTTTTTCTTTCCAATTTAATTAAAATTCTAGCTCTGATAGTTAAGAATTAATTTAAATATAAAATAAAAATGATGTACTGATTTTTGTATTTTCTTTCCTTTGTTTTATTACCACCTGGAGAGGAAAGCCTGCTGTGACTTACTGAAATGCAGAAATGCCAAATCGCTTAAAGTAGTTACACTGGACTGCAGTTTGCATTACAGTGAAATACTCTGTGTGTGATAAATAGTAATTTTATAGATCAGAGGAAATTACTTACAATTATTTTCCAAAGTTGTAAGGTTTGTCGACTTAGTCTTTTTTGTGTCAGTGAGTTAATTCAGAAGCCATGACTTCATTTTCTTTAACAGATTGAAAGTGGAGCAGTGTGGAAGCAAGTTTATCAAGATCTTGGAATCCCTGTATTGAATTCAGCTGCAGGATATAATGTTAAATGTGCATACAAAAAGTAAGTAATAAAGCTATGAAGTTTGTGCTAAAACAGCACTAAAAAGAACTGAAGTGATCCTGTGGTAGCGGTAATAGAACTGAAATCCATAAGTTTTTGGTTATAATACAGTTTTTTAGGCTTTAAACATACTGTTCATGTTCAGCTTCTGCTAGGTAGCCTGTTCTTTCTTGAAACAAACTTGCTTATCGCAAGCAATTTCTTTCTTTTAGATATCTCTATGGTTTTGAAGAGTATTGTACATCAGCTAACATTGAATTTCAAATGGCATTGCCAGAGAAACTGACGAGCAAGCCTTGTAAGGACTGTGAAAAAGAAAAAGAATTGAAGATCCGTGAAGAACCAGAGCAGGATGTAAAAGAAATAAAAGTGGATAAGGAGGAGCACAAGCAGGAGGAAGTAGCAATAGTACAACAAGAAGAAAAAAAGTTAGCTGAGAATGATAATGAAAGTAAAGAAAATGATAAGCCCTCTGTTCTGGTAAAATATTTTAATGTTCATGTTATATTCTGTTTATAAAGTCAAGTGGTGTGTTGATAACCATGAATTCATGTCAAGATTGAAATCTCCATAATGGATTTAAAACGAGACAAACACATGCTGTAAATCTAATTCAGAACAACACATTTGAGCCATTTATCTCTAGGTGCCTGTTTTAGGGGATCATGATGTCAAAATGTCTGACTTGTTAGGAAGCAGCTGCAACATTCCACTTGTTTGGGGGCCTCCCAGGACAAATGGAGACTAATTAGTGTGCAGCTTTATCCTGATCTGGATAATGCATGCTCACAGCTAACTACAGTGCTGTGCTGATACTTTTATTTTGCATTTAGCCATGCTTTTAAGCCCTCATAAATCTTGCTTTTATTTCTCTGCTCCAGTGAAACCAGTGAAGCTCTACAAAGACTTGGGCCATATGATGTACACAGTGGTCTGATGTAGTAGTTCAGTGGTCCAGAGAGACAAATGTTTATACCTTTTCAAAATCTAATGCTGACTCAGTGGTTTTAGCAAAGGAAGTCTAGGGTGGTAAGCTGAAGTGCTGCGCCGTGCAGGCTTAGCAGTTCGCTCTGGAAGCAGTGTAGGCTCCTCAAGTCAGCATGCAACACACATGTAATGCTTCTGTGTGTAAGTGGCAGGCAGCCCTGATCTGTCTGCTGGTACTAACTCTGGGGTGAATACCAGGTGGGCCAGTACTGATATCTCTGCATCCTAAGTGAAAACATACCCTGTGAAGTGTTTATCTTGGGGATTGCTTTGCAGTTCAGGTCTAAGAGCTGCATGCCTGTATCGTTGTGACAAAACTAGCTAGGACACTGGCTGCAACTTCAGTGTCTGTTACGTTTAGCTTGAGATTTTCAGAAGAAAAAACAGCGGAGGTGCTGTAACTTTAGAACAAGCCCTAGACTCTAGATTTTTTTGCTCATATAACTTCAGTGTATTTTGTCTGCCTTTTCTTTAATCCTTTGTATTTTTATTTCACCTTGCAAGTTAACTAAAGGTTTTATTATCCTAGGGAAACAAAAAAAATTTGCCAGATTCTGCCTATCCTCAGCCTGATCAAGAAAAGGACTTAAATGTAATCAAAATTGAAGATGAAACCAAACTAGAAGATAAAGAGGAGGAGAAGATTAAAGAAATGGAGAATCCTGCCGTAAATGCAGATGCTGAAGAAAAAGAAAAATCAGGGTAAGTTACTCTGTTTATAATCAGCTAAGGCATCTGATGTGTGTTCGTTAAATTTTACTCTTGTAAACTGAACTTCAAATCAGACATCCCTGTTGTGAATTAGACTCATATCTTTCGGAGGCCTGTGTATTCCTAACTTTGACATGGTTAGTGCCATTGAAGTGCATGGATCTAATTTTTTTTTATTTTAAAAAAAAAAAAAAAAGAGCAGCTGAAGTTTTTACAGGGTCCAGGCCTAAATATTTATAAGCTAAATGAGCAAAAGAACGTATAAAGCACAGGTGACTATTTGATTTAAGACAAAAATATTGCAACCATTGCCAGTAGGATTTATCTACTTAATTTTGGTACAAGTATATCACAAACTTGTTGTTTCCAGCTTTTGCTGTTGGACAGTGGTGTGTTATGGGTAACATGGAAAAAGATGGAAGTACCTTGCATCGCTTAGTAACAGCTTTGCCACTAGGTGGGCATAATACTGACAGGAGTCTCTTGTGCAGTCCTTCAGAGAGGAGTTTTGGAAGTAGGAGATTGAGGTAATAGGGATGCTCAGGGCCATATAATCAATGGATGTATGCAGGTGATCTCTCATTTCCTTTATGGAATGGGCAGGTTTTCCTCTGTCAGTGCAAAAAATAAAAACAAGTGTTTTTTGGCAGCCACGCAGAAAAATAGGACGTTTACAACAGAATATAGTCCTCACTAATCCCCAGTGTGTTAAAAATTTATATTCTTGCAATTAGGACCCTCATACAGTATGATTTCAAGTGGCAAGAACACAAAAATGGCCATTACAGGTTAGATCGAAGGTCTCTTTTAATACAGTATCTTGTCTTCAACAAAAAACAATAACAGATGCTTAAGGGAGAAGCTATTACAAGAGGGAAAGCAGATAATGACACCTCCTTATACTTTCAAAGCAATCTGTATATCAAGGATTTCTTTTGGTACTAAATATCAGCTGTTGCCTGACCACTAATTTCCTTGTTCATTCCAGCAGTCTTTGCTATTTAGTAGATCTTAGCTGTCTTAATCTTCTGTCTAGGTATCATTAACTCTTAATGCTTTTTCTGGCCCATTAAGAGTTGTGACAGAATGGCGTAGTTCAGTATATTGATTTCTGATTCATTGGTAATAGCTCTTTTTTTATTTTATTAAGGGTTTTGATTTTCATATAACAGATTCTGGAAGGATCCTCTGTAAAATGTTTTTATCTTCCTAAATATTTTCAGTGAGATTATGTTGGCAATTTCTGTAATTCAGAAGTGCGGAATACAGAAAAATCAAGTTTACGTGAACTCAGTTAGGAGAGCCTTTTCTCTGTGGATGTGATTTCATTTGTATCATATGTGAATTTTTCTTTTTTAAAGGACCCATTGCTGGAATTTGTTACATTTGCTATTTTAAAGGTGAACTAGATGAGTTGTACTGTAACAGGTTTGCTGGATTTTCAGAATTATTGAAGACTGATTTTACAATGCTACTTTCAAAATATATAACTGAATAGATGGAAAACTTTACACTGCTTAGAGAATAGCAGTTTTTAAAGTTCCCTGAATTGTATATTTATATGTGTGTATGTTTGATATTACTTTGTGTTTATTTATATACTTGGAAAGTAGAGTGGCTTAATACTTGCCATGCTGCTATAGTAAATGGTACATAAAATTATAAGCTGCATTTTCTTTTCAGTAATCCTTTATTGTTGTTTGTTGTTGTAGGGTTTTTTGTTTGTTTGGTTTTGGTTTTGTTTTTTTTAATCCTGATTCATGTCCATTTGGGTTATTTATGACATTAAAAAAATGTTACGAGTTTTCTTAGTTTTTTATTTATGAAAGCAACAAAAAACTAGAAAATACTATTTCCTCTTAATTTTCCCCAATTCATCTGGTTGTAATTGAGTGCTTTTCTCTCTGCTTCTCTTTACTCATCCAGTAAAAACTCTTCTAACTAGTATTTTGCTGTTGTGATTCATGAAAGATTGTAACGAGTTGCTTAGAACAGAAAACATAGCTCTGAAAATAGATGTAGGTGGTGATGTGCTCGTTGCTGGGGATATGTTTCAAGGAATAATTTAAACTTACAAAAATGAAACGTGTAGCAGTTAATAGTGTGTAAGCATTTATAAGCAGTGGTACTCTAGTAGTGGTGTTAGCGTGATTTCTTTTCCTGTCTTTCCTCAGAGATTGATAGGAAGTACAAAATGCACTTCTGTCAACTTTAAAGAATTTTTTAAAATGTCACTGTCATCCTAAATGCTAAACAATGTCTTTAGTGTTTGTACCATAAAGGCAAAAAGGGTTTTTTTTGTGAGCCTGGTATGCTGGTGGGGACGTTGTATTCCCCCTATCCCCAACTTTATGGGTTAGAAGTGGCAAAGGTTATACAGATGGGGAAAATGCTGTGGTTTGAGTTCTTTGTTGAACTGAAATACCAAATGAAAAATGCATTTTTGTAGGTGGAAAACTAATCACACACACAAAAACCACCCAAAATGTAACCAAAATAGATCACTATGGACTGAATTTTTGTCAAGTGTGTTTAAAATGTATTCCTGAAACCTTTTTTAAGCTATGGACCATCTGTCTTTCACAGTCTTAATGAAATAGCCAAGCAAATGAAATCTAAAATTATGTAAGGCAAACTTGTAGAATTTGCTCTTTGGGTTTATATCAGTAGGCCTTTGGGCATCTTCATGTAGCTTATTTGTGTATAGACACAAGGGACCAAGAGGACAGAAAAACTTCAGGGTTTCTTCTTGCTGAATTTCTGTTGGGTGGACTGGATCTAATTCCCAGCTTCCTGGGAACTTACTTTCCAGTACTACTGGAAGCCAGGGTTGTTTATTTTCGAGAGGTTTTGTTTCTCTGTGCTGTCCCACGTGTCTCAACCCTTTGAGATTGCTACCACTTGAATCCTGTGGTCCCTTCTGGGCAGACTTTAACAATACGATGAAGAGGAAGAAAGGCTGAATGTGGTTCTCTTCCTTTCTTCCCCATAGTGCCTGTTTCTTGCCTGCTTGTGTATCTGTGAACACTGAGAATAGAGATTGAAAGGAAGCTTGCCCCTTACTCTATACACGCTTTTCTTGTTTTTTCTGTGGTTAGTGGAAGATGCATGTGCTAGATTCGCTTTTGTGCAACTTCTAGTCATAAAAACAGTAAAAAAAGGCCACTAATGTGTTATTTCTCATTGGTCTGTCCCAGGGAGATCTTTACAAAAATGGCTTTGTAAATGCATCCTTTTCCCTAACATACAAAAAAGTATTCATTCTCAGTCAATGAATAAACAAGAAAGTAGAAAATCCTCCTTATTTTGAAGTTCCTGCTAACTTCATGTTGTGGAAGCAGTGGTCTTCAAATGTAGCATTGCATAGTTGGTGCAACTCTTCCTTTGTAGCATCTAACATTAACTGTTGTAACTATTCAAAAACTTGAGTCAAAGCCAACAAATTGAGAACCGAGGGGCTTTTCTACATAATGAACAATGTAGACAGTTGAACATGTTCCCAAGAGTCTGAGGCCAGGAGCCTAGTGGAGTTTTTAAAAGGTGTGGGATTTTTAATACAAGCTAATAAAATAAAAAGTAAGTCTTCAAAAATTTCATAGTAGATACAGTTTGTGAATTGAAGTGTAGGTTAACTGCTAGTTAACCAATATTAGTAAGAAAATTTTTCCCAGATGATTAATTCAACTCCAAGATTTGTTTGTTTGTTTGTTTGTTTTTTAACACTTTTCTCTAAAACACCTGCGACGGGCCACTGTCAAGAACTTTATATTGAACTGAAAGTTTAAGTGCTCAGAATCCGGATAATAATTTTTGCTTTCCAATAAAAATTTGCATCAGACTTGTATATTGATAATACTTGGATTTTTGAGGTGACCAAGCAAAATTATTTGACGTAATCCCAGTTACGGTACAGAAAGATTGCAAGAGGCTTTGTTCTTCTGTTTTCTTTTTGGCTGAGGTGCTGCTGTAACACTAATGTCAGGAGGGGCTGCCATCTCTGCATCCTTACCCTGCCCTTTCTCACCAAGCTGTCATTTTCAGTACTGACAAATAGTTCTTACTTGGTTTTATGAAACTTTTTGGATTTTTTTTTTTCTTCTTGAAAACTGCCTGCTTTTTTAATTTCCTCCAAGGAATGCATGAGCAAATGTTCTTAAAGAATACTTTAGAAACCTGAACGCTTCTGGTTGTCTCATACTGCCGGTTTAGGTCTTCATGGTATGGTTTTCTGGGAATTGGTACTGCCATATTTTGACAGTTTCAAAAGGAGAAAATGCTAAACCTCTTTGGCTAATAATCTTGAATGGATTTAAACCATTCATTCACATGCAAGGGAAAAATCTTAATTATAGAGCTGTTATATACATCGTTACATGCAGTAATAGCATTTCCCCTCCTATAAGCAGTGGGAGGGAGCTAGGAGTAATAAAAGCAGTAGTTGAGAACTAGGTTAAGATGGGCATGGTTTCACGTGAAGGGTTTTATGAGGTTTATTACCCTTGTAGGGTAGGGTGACTACCTGCTGTGCCTGTGCTGCTGATGGCTTCTATTTGTACAAGAGTTAAATTTTCTGGAAACACTTGATGGGGATTTTCTGAAAGCAATTTACCAGCAGGATTATGTAATAATCAGAAGCTCCATTTCACATATGGGAGATAACAGATTGTTAGAGGCAATGTTTTTTTCAGTTCCTTATCTGTTAAAATGACATATCAAAGCTTTATGGTGGTGAATCTAAAATGGTAGCAGGAAGGTTAAAATGTTTTGGAGTGAAGGAGATTTGGTACAGAAGGCATATCTTCTAGCTTCTGGATTAGTGTTGAGAACTATATTGAGATAGCTTTCTCCAGTCTGATTTAGGTTTATATGGAATTGATTAGCTTGGGAGAAGGGAGAGAAATGCGTCGCATTCATTGCACAGTTGGTGTGAACATCTGCTCTGAATCTTAGACTGTTGTTGTGTATGCAAAAAAATACGTTTTCAAGAAGGTAGTT